TGTGGAATATAGCAATCTTTGCAGACCCCAAAGCAGTAGGCATTAAGAAGACCTTGCTCATACCAATTTTTAGCACTGTTTGCTCTTTGGTGACCTGCTGACACTAAGAATGTATTACAGAATCTGACACTCTATGTCCTCTACAGAGTCCACAATCTAGAGGGAGAGAGCTTACTAGGTATATACATAATAAAACAAGGTGGAAAAATGAATTGGGGAATATAATGGAATTCCTAAGTATGAATTCAGTATGGAAGTGGCAAGATTCCAGCATTCAAATTGAAATAACGTGGTCAGGTGCAGACTTTGAATCTTATCTCAGATGTATGGTAAGTGGACCAAAGTAACTTCCTGGGCATGTAGAAGAATAAATTTCATGAAAAGGGATGAGGGCATCCTAGACTTCCAGGGATGGGTGGGTCCAGTGACATTCCTTACCAGGATCCATAGGCTGGATAAACGGACTGCTGAGGCCCTCTTTAAGAGCAGAGCAGTTATGGATTGTTTTTATGTCCATAAAGAAACATATATTTCTTATAGAATATTTGGAAAGTAGAATTTTGAATACTTGCCTTTTAAACAAATTTATAAGCATATTATTTGAGATTATATTACATCATGTTTGAATCCTGACTTTTTTTCCCTACCAAACAATAGAGTTGAAAGATTTCTCCTATGTCATTATAGAGTCTTTAAAAAGAACAGATGCTACACTATACCTTTGCATCATAATTTATTTAAATAGTTGAGTGGGACCACTTTTAAATACATCTAGGTTTGCATCAAAGGGTATACAATTAGCTATATTTTTAAAATTGGATTAAGTAGTGGACAACAGCGGTTGGGGAAAACTACTACTACCACAACTACTTAGTTCCATCATCTGTCGACCTCAAGTTATTTTAATGTTATTTCTGCCTAATGTTCCTCCCCTTGTGTTCTGAAACATCACCAAACACAACACATAATTGGGACCTAGGCTGATAGAATGTGTCCTCTTCTGTAGTGAGACAACTTCATTAATTCATTTACTTTCAAAGATGAATAACTCAAAGCAGAGATTTCCCTGAAAAGAGATAACACCTCCTTTCAGTACAAAGGGCCAGCTGCTTTATTAAGGTGGACTTCAGATAGGAAAGCAAAGGAGCAGTTTCCAAGGAAGTCACTGGGAAAGTGTCCATTTGTTCTTAAAGGCATCAACCCCTCTGCTCCGAGCTTTTCTTCTCCAGAAGGAAGCACAGAAGAGGGGCATGGAGTGGGCACTGAATCACGCAGGACTGGGGTCTGCTTCATGAGCAGATTCTTTCATCTCTATCTAGATCTTATTTTACAAATGCAGCTGTCATTAATTTTAAATAATTAATGTGGGGTTTGAAAATAATAACAGCAAAAACAACAATAAATCACCCTTAAAACTGATGAGGAAACAATATTCTTGCACAAAGACTGCAAGAGGCAGGTATGTTCTATAGAATGAAATGCAAGTTCTAGCTACATGTGGATACTAAGGGAGCCTATTTTTAGATGGAAGGGGGTCAATGAAAGAATGAAAGACTGTGTCTACTGATAGACACAACCTCAAACCTACCTTAATCATGGATTATATGATTCCTTTAAAGTCCTAAGATATAATCTCATATATGTCAGATAAAGATATATAAACTTAGGTGTAGAGGTATATATAGACATAAGGACATATACACATGCATAAAAAATTTAGTACTTAGCCAGGAACCCAAAAAAGTGCTAAGTACTTTATGTTCATTATGTTATTTAATTTAGTAACTCAAAAAATCTATTATATCCCTCATTCTTTAATGAAAAAAATGAGTCTCAGATTTGCCATTGATCTTACACCTAGCCTTTTAAACCGAAAGACCATATTCTCACCATACTACCAGTGCTGCAGCTGCTACTTTTTTTTTTTTTTTTTTTTTTTTTTTTTTTTTTTTGAGACTGATTTTCACACTGTCGCCCAGGCTGGAGTGCAGGGCCGTGATCTCACTCACTTTCTGCAACCCCCACATTCCGGGTTCAAGCGATTCTCCTTGCCTCAGCCTCCCGAGTAGCTGGGATTACAGGCGCTTGCTACCGCACCCAGCAGCTGCTATTTTTAATAGCACTGATATTATATTTCTCCCATGCCACTTTATTATCATTCATTACATTATTAGCATCTATTTATTGAGTGTTTGAACTACATACTAAGCTAAGCAATTGATATATGTTATCTCCTTTAAACTCTGTGGTACCCTGTGATTAACGTCTAGTGAATAAGTAGAGATCTTGATTATTGTTGTTTACTTGATTGTTTTTCTTTTCTTCAGGAAATTCCTCTTCCCTATTCTTTTGGGGCTGCCAATGAAACAGATTTGCTCTTCTAGATATAGGGACAGACAGGAGAACAAATTAGCACAACCAGATTCTCTGTCCCAAAAATATGAATCTTAAAAAAATACAAAGGAATGGCCAGGTATGGTGGCTCACGCCTGTAACCCCAGCACTTTGGGAGGCTGAGGCAGGTGGATCACTTGTGGTCAGGAGTTCAAGATCAGCCTGGCCAACATGGTGAAACCCCATCTCTATTAAAAATACAAAAAGTAGCCAGGCATGGTGGTGCACACCTGCCATCCCAGTTACTCAAGAGAGTGAGGTAGGAGAATCGCTTGAACCCTGGAGGCAGAGGTTGCAGTGAGCTTAGATCGTGCCACTGTACTCTAGCCTGGGTGAGACAGAGAGACTCTGTCTCAAAGAAATAAAATAAAATAAAATACAAAGGGAGATGCAACATAGTTGAAGCCCAGCTATCTGTTCAGAAACACCCAGTTTTGCTGTGGTTTTTACTCTTCCCGACAATGCTCCATTGCTCAATTCTTCCTTTCATGCTGGGAACTACAGTAAATTCTTTTTCATTGTAACCTAAAAAAATTGTTTTTCAAATATCAGTCACTTTGATTCCTCTTGCTTGCATTCCAATTACTACCCTCTGACTCACAGATAAGGCTACTGAAGTTCAGAGACAAAACGTGATAGCAATGTTTGGAGAGGACAACTGCAGAAACTCATCCAACTGGCAAGTAAAATTTAAATGCATTTCAGGCGGACCCCCAAGCCTGTGTTGTGTTGTGCAGGTTTGCCTCTTAACAGGGCTTCTAGTTCTTCTCATGGAATCTAAGCCATTCTCAAAGTGAGGGAAGACTTGACAGTACTATAAAGATACCCCTCCCCTCTTTTTTATTAGAAGCAAGAGTGCTATTCCTAATTTTCAAAACTTGGTCAGGCAGTCACAACTGCTCTTATCCACAGTGTTGAAACAGAGGTCGACAGACCACTTGTGGGGCCAGATACAAACCTGGATCCTGAAAATCAAGTGGTCTGAGCCAAGGTGGCCAGGGCAGCTGGGGAAACTAAGGGGCTCAGGGCATGGCTATTTACCAGCTGATATGGAAATATTTCTGCTATGTTTTTAATAAACAAAAAGATCAGACGTAGCCAATCTAGTACACATGGTCTGAATATCAGACCTGAATGGAAGGTGATCTTTGAAGGGATATTTGTGAAGAGAATCGTAGTAAAACACATCAGCATGAAAAACAGCAAAATCGGCTCCACCTGTGGCTTCCGGTGTGTATAGGCGAATCTGAAGATTTCTTTACCTTGCCCCCCAGTACTGTCATGGGTACAGATGAGAGGTAACCTGGTGGGTGTTCTGAACATATTTTCACTCTTATTTCTACACCTAGACTGGAATGGTATGGAATATTTATAATTATTTGAGGAAAAATTTGACAGCCATCTACATAGTGAAACAAATGAGGGGAAAAGTTGAGAAAAAAAGAAAGAAAATGTTCCAGAGATTGGCAGTGACTAATTGGAAAACATAACCAACATACTGGTGGGCATGTCTGTGCTCCCACTGGCCTGCAGCCAAGGTCTCTGCTGTCCAAGAGGTGGGGAATGAAGAAAGCCATTTCCTCCAGACAGAATAGATGCAAGGGAGCCTCCCTGAAGACTTCTGCCTCTTAGGCTGAACGTGTAGAAAGGAAGAGGCTGTTGAAGGTGTGCAGAAGCTCAAACTCTCCACCCCAGAGGCAATTTCCCGCCTAAGGCTTTGTCTGAAGAAACAGTGCTTTCTGTCCTGTTTGAGATCATATTTCTATAGGAATACACATACCCTTTATGCTACACTGATCTCTGGCAAAATAAATTGTCTCTATATGTTTACATTTACGTATATATTTTTTAATACAAAGTGCTGTCCAGTGTCCACATAGAGGGCTCGTGTTGCACAGGCTGAAACTCCCATGCTTCATTAGGCCTATTTAAAATACACAGTTATTGCATGAAACAGAGAAAGCAGACTTAAGCCCTGTTTCCTTTCCTCATTCATTTCTCTCTTGGAAATAACAAATAGCTTGTTCCTTCGTGCGGCTCTGCATGAATTCCCACTATTCTATGTGATTTTCCTACATAAAACTGTTAACTGGAGTCAGAAACTAAAGCAGATGAATTGGACCTGAGGGGATAGCATACAATGTGTTGTGCTCCCAGACAACTTCATTACTTTAATTACCTAAAAAGTATAAATAGTTTGGCAGGGTACGAATCTCATTTCTCAGCCTAAACGATAATAGATAGCTGGGAGAGATTGTCCCAAATCCTGCTGCTTATAGATTGCCCTATTTTTTTTTCTTTTTTCCTAAAAGCAGATCCATTGACCTTTATGTGTATGCAGTCTTTGCCTTTCAAAGTGGCTGAGAGACTGACTTTTGAACACACAGGGAGTTGAGAATGGATATTTACTAAAGGCCTATTATGTGCCATTCTTCGAATCAATGAATAACTATGATGTAGCTCCATACCATGTACTGTTCTGGGCACAAGTAATACAACAGTGAAAGGTAGTTGAGGTTCTTGCTCTCATGAAGTTTATATCCTAACTAAAGTAGGAGGAGCAGGAGAAAATAATCAGAAACAAATACACGATACACTATTTCTAGATGTCAAAAAGAGGAAAAGGTGAAGATCAGGAGACAGAACATTCCAAGGATATAAAAGCAAATGTAAAAATGCCCTAAAGTGGACATCAGCTTGGCATGTTGAAGGCTGAAAAGTAAGTCTGGCCTGAATAGATGGGGCTGGCATCACATCTGATAACTTAGCTCTGCCACTTAGTTTTCATTTTCTACTTAAAAGAGTTATGCTCATTTCTCACCTTACGTTTCCATATCATTATATGTGGCTTACAATGCTTCCCCTACAAGGTTTTCTAAGGATAAATTACAGAATGTACACTGACCACTTAGTGCTTGGCAAATATTAAAATGAAAATATTAGTTGTCACTGATATTGTTATTAATTTGTAATATCTTGCCTGTCTTCCACAGTATACCATACTCCAAACTGAATCATTATTCTAACTATCATTATTATTATTAGCAGTATTAATATTATTTTGTAGAGGAGGTTCTTGCTTTCTTTCCCAGGCTTGTCTTTAACTCCTGGGCTCAACTGAACCTCCGACCTCAGCCTTCCAAAGTGCTGGGATTACAGGCTTGAGCCATCAGGCCCAGCCTAAATGATTCATTATTCTATAAATGTGATGTTTCATTTTTCAGAAATGCCACGCCTCATCCTGAATTCCATGCACTGAAACATTCATCATCACCCTCACCATCTTTTCTATCAGCCCGTTCAAAAGTTCCATCTTTCCGGATGGCTCTTGAATGACTCTGTCTTCACATTTGACCATATGTTAATTGATTCAATATATGCCTGTATTACAGATCCAAGCTAAGTCTGTGCCGTCTTCACCAGTGTTCAGATACACCTAGGTAGGTATTTTGTAGGGTTGGGACTCCTGAGGTCTATTTACATGGGGCTATATCAGGAAAGTGAAACCCATTCCAGGTAGCCAACTAGTAAGGTTTTAAAATAGAAAACTAACTACAAACATGTGGGAGGAGCTGAAATACCAAAGAGTTGATAAAAAGGTAACCCACAAATTAGCAAAAGCAGAAAGTTGCTATCACCCTTAGGCTATAGGAATAAGGGAGAGAATGGAATTTCCAGAGTCCGCGAGACTGGTTACCTTGGTGGGGTAGAAATGGTAGGAGGTGAGGTCAAGGGGAGATGTCCAACAAGAACAGGAACCATAGGAGACATGCAGTCCTCTCTAAGAACACTGCCAAAAACAGAGAAAACAGCAACTAACCCAGGTTTTTCTTTTCTCCCTCTGTTCAAGCTCTTGTGAGTGTTCACTGTTGGCGAGATCTAGCTGGAAGTCAGGAGAGGGAGTCCTGGGAAACAGTGTTCGCAGGAGTCAATCCCCTGTGATATGAAACCAAGCAGGGGAAAGGCAGGAAAGGCACCTGAGCACAGACAAATGAAACAGACAGCACAGGAACAGAAACCAGGACTGCCACAACACACAATGAACATGCCCGCCTGAACACTCTGCTGTGATACTTGTGCAGCACACACAGGCAACTTGGGAATGATCAGACACCTAGGAAACAATTTGTCTTTGAATAAGAGTGAGATATTCATATTTTCCTGAGAAAGGGGACACTGTGTGATAAGCACACATTGCCAGTCACTTAACTTCTCTCTCCAGCCTGAGCTCAAGGACAGTCTGCAAACCAAACCCGAAAGAGCTGTGTAACTAATACATTCAAGTATAAGGAGTTCCAAGCTGAACTGCCTTGAGTTGTGGGCAACAGAGATATACAAAGGTATAGCCAAAAGATCTCCCACATTAGCAGAAATTAGACTGACTTTTGTCATAATAAGCTCAAATCACTCTTGTAGTAACAAGCCTTAATGCTCTCCATAGTTACCTTGATGCACCAGAATTTGACTGCTAGACACCCCAGTTCAGGTATCAGCAGACAGCAGCAACAACAACAACACAGCAAGAAGTCTTGTTGGGGCCGTGCTATAAAGCCCACATCATGATGCCTGGACCTAAACCTTGGCTCACCACACTGAACTGGATCAAGAAGGAATTAAAAGACAGAAATATTAACATTGCTGATGTGATTGTCCGTGAGCCCATGATACATATCATTTTATTGTTATATAAATATGTGCTTTATATCATTCTCTCTTTCATCACATCTGAGACATTGTGGATTCTAAATCACATCCCAATTTCAAAGATGCTGAAATAGAAAAAAACGCCCTTCAGAGCCAATGAAATATACGATACATATAACTATACACAAATTTATAATACATAACAATGGATCACTTATTTTACATCAGGCACTGGACCAAATATTCTTATTCTCATTAATCTTTATAACAAATATGTGGGGGAAGTACTTTGTTTATCTTCATTTTACAAATGGTGAAACTGTGATTAGGAAACTTGTCTATGGTCACAAAACTATTAAGCTGTGTAGTCTGGATTCAAATTGCAAGCTCATGCTCACATCCATTTTTTTACACTGCTTCTACGTGAATCACTTCTTGAGAGCTTTCAAAAAAGTAATATCTTAGGAAAGATACTAAAAAGAGGATACAGAATATATCTGACAATGTTAAGTAGGAGACAGGAGAATTTAGGCTTTTTGTTTTGTTACTGTGAATCAATAACTACATCCATTGCACACATACACATAGACACACACACACAAAAACACACATCTCACACATACATACACAGTGGCATGACCTAAAGAAAGCTGGATTACATGTAGGTGCTTAATCATAATGATATCTGGGTTTTGTGGGTGGACCAGGACTACGTATGTCTTATCACTATATACCCCATCGCATCTGTTTCAGTGATTTTCATGTGAATACTCAACAAGTGTTTTGTTAGTGAGTGAATAAATTAATATATTAAGCATTGTGTGTATACAGGTTATATGGGTACAATGATGCTGGGTAAAGAGGGTCTAAGAGACTGTTCCTAGCTTGGTTAGGTCTTAACTAATCAGTGTCATCTAGGTATAAGCAGAAAAAGATGCCAATTGAAAGGTTAGATCTCTTTTAATTATACTGGGGAAATTGCAAAAAAGGGGCTGTCTCATAAATGTTTCACTAGCTAAAATGATAAAATATTGATTCAGAACTCACAATTAATCCTCATATGTAGACGAGGCTTTTAATAATTCAGAGATGTCTCTCCACGGTCTTGTTTGTTCCGTACCCATGGCTGGGTAGAAGCTGCTTTCTGAAAAGATGGAGACCTTTTTTACCCAACAGCATCAGCTCAGATTCCTGTGATTATAGCACAGCATGGTAAATATTAACTAACTCTTAAGTGCTTGGCCTCATTCCCCGATCACTTTCTAAAGCAGAAACACAGGTCATTCTCCTTCCATGCGTGCCTACTTGAAATCTGTTTTCTTTTAGATGTTCAATTGGATACTTTCTTCTTTTGACTTCCAATTAACTCTGACACTCTTTGAGTTATAAAACACACTACAGTTTTGAGAATGTAGATATAAAAATGACACGTGGACAGTTTCTCAAAGGGTTGCATACAGGGTGACTAGAGACCTGAAGCCCTGGCTCTGTCATCAACCTGCTTTGAGAAAGCATGGCACTGTACCAGGTATCAGTTTTCTTATTTGGAAAATGTTGGTCCCTCAAGCCCTCTTTTGATTTAACTAATTCTCTTGAGCCAAAGTACTACTATTCTACGAGTACAGGTACTTTTGGTTCAAATAAATCCTGTAGAGTACACTTAGTAAGAGGGGCAATTTTTTTTTTTTTTTTAAATTGAGATAGAGTCTCGCTCTGTTGCCCAGGCTGGAGTGCAGTGGTCCGATCTCAGCTTACTGCAACCTCTGCCTCCCGGGTTAAAGTGATTCTCCTTCCTCAGCCTCCCAAGTAGCTGGGACTATAGGCACGTGCCACCATGCCCAGTTAATTTTTTGTATTTTTAGTAGACAGAAGGTTTCACCATGTTAGCCAGGCTGGTCTCAATCTCCTGATCTTGTGATCCACCCGCCTCAGCCTCCCAAAGTGCTGGGATTACAGGCGTGAGCCACTGCACCCAGCCAAGAGGGGCAACATCTTAGTCAAAAAAAGAATTTCCTGTTTTAGTAGAAAAGATGCCAGATGTGAGGCTCTTCTATTCCTGATGGTTTAGGGTTTCTATGATGCTGTTTTTGGTCCATCTCCAAGGTAAACAAATTCCCATTTAAATCATATGCTCTGATGCTGTAATCCAGATGTTTTTATTTTTCTTTTGTTTCTATATTCTGAAAATCTTGGTTGGCAGACATATCTTGGACCCACAGGGGAAGAACACATATTATAATATCATTTTTATGTTTATAATTCATATTGAAGTAGGGCAATTGCAGAGATACAGTGTTGGAGAGAAGAAGAGGTATACATTTCAAGTAAGGTCTCTATATACAGAAGTATAAAAATGTGTATTTTTGATCAAGCAGATGGAATCCTCTGGCTCTGTTTCCTAATTTTCTCTAAACTTCTGCAGTTTCTTCTCTTATTTTCCCTAAAAATATAATTTGTTCCTATTCTTTGGTTTTTGTTTTCTACTTTGAAAACAAACTTTCAATTCCAAGTGACAAGGCAAAGTCACTAGGTAAAGACACTTAAATTTGAGACACTTTAGCTATAAAGAAGTCGAGAAGCAAGTTGAGGTTCAACTATTTAATTGCCATATATTCTTTACTATTTTCTAGAAGTCTGCATTCTTACTTTCTCTTATGGCTTGACCTACTACATTCACCAATGAGTCTGATATTTTTTGCTTTCTTTTCTTATATAAATATAAAATCTATCTTGCTATAGATTGCTTCTTCATCCCTTCTGCCATATGAGGACACAGTGAGAAGATGGACAACTATGAACCAGGAAGTGGGCCCTCACCAGACACTAAGTCTTCCAGGGCCTTGATCTTGAACTTTCTGGCCTCCAGAAATGTAAAAAAAATACATGTATGTTGTTTATAATCACCTAGTTTGCAGTATTCTGTTATAGCAGCCCAAATAGACTAAGACACTAGGTTTTTAACTGTTGATCTTATATTCTTTTTCTCGTTCATCTCTTTATAAATTGTGGTCCACTGGAGATAATATTCTGCAATATATTGATCATGTTCCTCATTGTATCTCTCCTTGCAAAAGTAATACAAGAGATAAACTTGCTAAAAATTATATAACTCGACATTCTCATAAATCCTATCCAACTCCTCCCCATGTAGGAACGCCCTCGCCCCAACCATACACACACACTCACACACAAAGAACACTCGGTAACATCTTAACAGGAATGTTAGTATTCTAAGAATACAGTTGGAGGAAGTCACATTGACCATGGCCAGAACACTATGAATTATAGGATAGTAGTTGTAGTACCCATCGTTTTCTGGAGGAGCTGACCTGCCTGTCAATCCTTGATTCAAAAGTCATACTTCTGTTATATACGTCTGGTCAACTCATTCTGGTATGTTACTTAAAATCAAAGCCTGCTTCTTTGTTAGTAAAATGAGTATAATAAAAACCTTATGTGGTTGTTTTCAAAATTAAATGGAAGAATACATATAAATAGCCTGACATAGAGTAATAAACTCTATTGGTAATTGTTGTTTTGCTACAACTATCATTATTGCCATCTGCTGCTGGCCTCTGACACAATGCCATGCGGATGTAGGTATTGCTGCTCTCTGCTGGAATTGTTTCAGCCTGTTTTGCCTCCTAAGACAAATGAAGGTCATTGATCTTTTCACAAAACCTCCCAAATTCTTGTCAGCCCTTCACCTAATACTGACCTTCTTAGCGGTTGATGCACTGACCTTGCAAATGCTAAGAGGTAGATAATTAGCCATGCTCTTAACTCATACAGATCGTCATACCAGTCACTTTAATGTGGGGTGATAAAATTTGTAATTTTTATGAGGCTTACCCTGCAGATCTAAACTATAAAATATGCCATGGAAAGATAGTGGATAGCTGGGGGAAGTGCTACCTGAGGTTTAAAATATGACCCTAACAAATTCATCTCAATTCCACCAACCAGGCTTCAGAATTAAAGATAATAGGTACCTGCAACAACAAAAGCATCCGCAGAAAGATGTCTCTTCTTCCTTTCTCTCTCTTTATTTTTATTTGTGGTTTAAGACACTTCTAAAAGTAGTTTCACATAAGCAATTACAAATACCATTTAGATACCTCACTTCACATTGGGCCAAACAGACCGCATATTTAATGAGTTACTTGCCAAAGCCATTCTCTCACATTAATAATGGACAGATGGACCACTAGCTCAAGTCAGTTTTAATGAGTGTGGGCTAAGGCATAGGCCTAAAATGTCCAGACTCCTGTATTTATGTTTTCCTGATATTTTCACCCTCGACATCATAGATCTTTTTTTTTTTCCTTTTTCTCCCAGAGTAGATTTTTTCCACCTATCTGCTCACAATTAAATTGTAAACACTCACCAGCTTAATCTGTCCCATTTCCTCTCTTCATATCACCTGAGGATTTAAATGTGCCTTATTGATTCTCAATCATGCAAATCTTTCCTATAAACAAATCTATTCATTCAGCTCTGATCAGCAGCTATTAGTAAGCAAGACACATTGGTAAGGTAAACTAAACACTGGAAATGAGTTAGGAAAAAAATCACTGATGTGCTTATCCAAATTCTGTGTGGCATGTGAAAATGTTTTTCCCTTACTTTTTTTCCCATGATGACAGCTGTATAAGTGCCTAAGTTTCTAAGAAAAGATTAAGATGAAAAAAAAAAAAAAAAAAGATTAAGATGCTGGTGACTTAAAACACAAGATGACTTGGAGCCCAGAAATGGAAGATTTTTATGATTTCAGATTTCTTTTGAGTTGACAAAACAAAACAAATATTTATATTTAAGTTGATTTCTCAACTATAAATTGATTCTGAAGCTAAGTTCTGCTTATTTATGGGCTAACACAAAGAACTCAAGACAATTCCTGGAAACTAAAAGTTACAACATAACCTCAAAGATCACCTAACCAATCCAATTACCCACTGTCTGGCAAAAGGACTGTCTTTCCAGAAGAAACCCACTCCTCTTCTTGGTCTTGCACTGAGTTTTGATTCCTGGGTCCTGATGATGTCAGAAAATGATTCTCAGCTATGTCTACACACTGGAAATACCTGGCCCTTCCTCATATTAATTCAACCAGAATTTTGTCGAGTTTTTGTTGTTCGAAGTCAGTACCTCAAATCGGAAGCATCAGTATCATCTGAGAGGTTATTAGCAATTCAGAATCTCAAGCCCATCTCCAGACTTAATGAATCAGAATCTGCATTTTAACAGGATTTCCAGGCGATCTGCATGCATATTAAAAAATACACATGCTTGAGTTCCTTCCTCTCAGAGATTCCCATTGAATTATTTTGAGATGAGGCCTAGGCAGTGTTTCATCACCATCATCACCTGGGGAGGTGTTAAATGCAAATTTTACGTGAAGGAATGCGGATGTTAATTACTCAGTTTAGCTATTTTATAATGTATACATGTTTTAAAATGTCATGTTGCATACAATAAACATATGCAATAAGAGAAAAATATATAAATAATTGGATCTCATACCATCCGAAGCAGAAATTCTGGATATCGGGCCCAGGAATCTATGTTTTAACAAACAATGCAGGTGATTCTTACGATGCTAAAGTTTGAAGACTCTTGCTAAGGGGAATATGCCAAATTTATCAATATATTCACAATCTATTTCTGACAGTTTTGGGTCGGGGATGGGCTCATAACCCAGACCTCCACCATTATAACTATCAGGGATAGATATGAAACTGAATGTGGTAAATTTATTGAAACAAATATTTCTTTTGTCTAAATACGAACCAAGATGCATGCAACTCAAGATCAATGCCAACCTACGGTCAACATGAGGAAAGCCAACCTGAGAAATGAAATTTAACCTCTGGTGTCAAAGGTAGATAACCCTCTAGGTCTCAACTATTCCTGAAGCTTGCCCTATCTCCTGACTTCCATTTACATAAGCTAATGAATTCCTTTGTAAGTTAAGCTGGTTTGAGTAGGCTTGGAACATAGAAAATATTGGTATTAAAGAATTTCACATATCCAATGGAAAAACTGGAAGAGAATAATGCCTCTGATGAGAGGTTGCATAGCATGTTTTAAAACCTTCAGTGATTAGAAATTCATCTATTTCAATGACAATCCATTCCAATGTAGAAGATAATTGTGAAAAATTATCTGCTTATATCAAGCTGAACCCTGAAAAAGTTATATTTTGTAATCACTCAAAATGCATATTTCCTCCACTGCACAAATATTCTCTTCTTTAAATACATATCCGGCTTTTTCATTATAAAATGATGTTGTGGCTTCACCATCCTAATTGCTTGACCCTGAATAACAGACACTTTATCAATCCATCTTAATTAGTGCCTTGCAAATAAATGATGTATTAAAAGTAGAGAACAGACCATGCAGAGAACAGACTGAACATTCTCTTTCTTAGAATACTAAATTGAAGTGGGCATAATAGAAGTCCCCCTTCCATGTTGCTGTCAATAATTGTTTGTCAAACAGTGATTCTCAAATGGGTAAGTAGAGAGGTTACCAAAATCTCAAGTTTTATCGTCCCCCCTCCAGATTGCATACAGCTCTCCCGCCTCTCAAGATTACTATTTTCTATAGAAAATCAAGGAAGTTTCCCTCTGTCTTATAACTACATCTGACACTATCACTTTTTTGGATAAATTGTTTAATTGACTATTCTCTTTTGGGTTATTTGCAACTTCATAGCAAATAACCAATACAAACTTCTCAAATTATTTTTAGGTATTCTACTTCCCTAAGGCTTAGGTTTGCACTTACAATGTGTGGATAAAACCACCTATATCTTAGGGATAGTGCAAGGATTGAATTATATATATATATATATAGAGAGAGAGAGTAATTAGTTTCAGTGTCTGTCATCTGTTCAGTGCTCAATAAATCTTGGCCTAAAAATAATGACATGCAAGGCTTTCATGAACTTTTATCTACTTTACCTATCTTATGAGCCTTCCTTCAGCTTTTGTATCATGAACTCCAACCATTCTCAATAGGTATCATTTCTATAACACGCATATTTGATCTCCAATGACTTAGTTTAGAGCCATATAGAACACTGGCCTTTTCACATATAATTCTATGCTACAATCTCTCTCTATTATGCATTTGGGATCTAGTTTCTGTGAACCAAAAGATAATACTTTACAATTATCAAAATTTCACCTGATCAGACAAAGTTCAGGATTTCAGTATTTTCTAATGTTGTTTATTTTAACTCTCTCATTTAATATATCAATGATGTGTTTTTCTACCATCAACATTTAACTCCTAAGTAAGTAGAAGATTAATGGAATAAAGCAGGAGTGTCCAATCTTTTGCCTTTCCTGGGTCGCATTGGAAGAAGAATTGTCTTGGGACACACATAAAATACATGAACACTAATGATAGCTGATGGGCTAGAAAAAAAATGCAAATAAAAACTCATGATGTTTTAAGAAAGTTCACAAATTTGTGTTGGGTTGCATTAAAAGCCATGCTGGGCTACATGTGGCCCTTGGGCTGCAGGTAAGACAAGCTTGAAACAAAGTTTCTGATACTAAGAAGCATATATTCCAAGTAAAAAAGACAATCCCATCCAAGAATAATGGCAAAATATGTATATGTTAGAACATATACATACAACAATGATTAGGTGTGTACTAAATGTAAATCTAGGTAAAGAAATTTTCAGAGTAGGAAAATCTTGAACAGTAACTTAGAGGAAACTAATTTTGAGGTAGAACTTAAAGTAACCACTGAATATAAACTAATACAAAGGAGCTGAGAAGAGGAAAGTTTGCATGGAAATATGTGAGTAAATGGTCAGAAGTAGGGATAAGCAAGGCTTATATGACAGAAGGAAAGTTGATACCAGCTTTCCAAGCTTTAT